CTCTGCGGGCTTCTGGGGGTGGAAGCTCTCCTGCAGCCCCCCGATTGTTCCCTCCCCCCAGATGGCAGCCTGCGGCAAGTGCAGCCGGGCTGATGGCCGAGTGCTGTGATGTTCCGCGTGTGGGCACTCAGGGCACTCCAAGCCAGGACTGCTTTGCAAGCGGGGAACCCTGAGAACTGTCTGTCCGGGGTGGGGGTGGGGTCCCTTTAAGCACAGCCCTCGGCTAGGCTGAGACAGCAGCTCCACGCTCTAAATCCTAATCTGATGCCCTGCCGACACTGCTTCCGGCCATCCTTAACCCCGCTTCAGGGTCCACTCCGTGTGGACATGCTAGTTCGAATTAGCAAAACGCTAATTCGAACTAGTTTTTAAGTCTAGCTGCGCTAATTCGAATTAGCTTAGTTTGAATTAACTAATTCGAATTAACTAATTTACTAAGTTAGTTCGAATTAGCGCTGTAGTGTAGACGTACCCTTACAGAGTGAAGCGCTGTGCTTTGATTGGCGTTTCCACTTTCAGGCTCTCCCCTAAGTTGTTCTACACTGAGGTGCTTGGAAGTGGCAAGTGAATCAAACTGCAGAAGAATGAAGAGCTCAGAGTACGTTTCACAGCTGTCAGGAGGTGCATTATGCTGTGAAAGTCTGATATTGTTGCCCTCAAATACTATCCAGGACAATGGATAATGGAGTCAAATACTAGCACTAAGTAAATATGGCAGGGGGAGGGGAGATGCCATGCATCTTTATTTGAATGCCAAACCACATGTGGATCTGACATGCTCATGAGCCTTTTATGTTCCCTTTCCATTAACCTGTATGCGCTGGATATCAGTCACTGCGAATGCTTGTGAAAAATCGAATGCAAAGCATGGCTGCTCAGACACTCAGTGAGTGCAAAGCTGAGGTAGGGAATTGAATGAAAATTCCCCATTCACATTGTGTTATTCACCTACATGTCAAACCAGGGAGTGGAGACACTGCCGGGTAGCTCACATAATTAACCAACACACTGGTGAAGAGCTTATTGCGAACAATCTGCAGCCTAAGAATTTTTCACTGGAGAAATCGGGAACATTTCATGACCCATTCACAGAAAATATGTACACAGAAATGAAGGCAACATTATTTAGTGTCAGTTATTCACTCAGCTCTGTCAAATCCGTTTTAAAAGGGATGGATCATTTCAGGGTCAGCAATATTTACAGGTATTCAAGACGATTGAAAAAAAAGGGGCGGAATAGAATGAGAATTCTTTTCCCCGTCAAATTTCAGTGAAATTTTGAATAGAAATTTCAAGATTGTTCAGCCTGGTCTAATAGCTTGTTCTGTTATGATTGGACTAATCAAACTGTATTCTTGATGTGTTTGCTACAGGCAGCTGTCAGGCTCCAGCACAGTTAGGCACTTAAGCATGTCAGCAGGCCCTCTAAAGTCATGTGATTGGAGTCAGGGCTGCGGTTAAGCACCTGCCTGAACTGGGGGGACCCAGGAAGGAATTTCCCCACATTGCCCGATGCAATTGCACCAGTGACTAGATACACTTGAATAGGGGTTTTCTATCTTTCACCAAAGCACCACATATTGCCCACTTGCTATATCTGACTCAATAACACCACCTAGCTCTACAGGGCATTTTTCATCAGTGGAGCTCCAAGCACTTCACAATCTTGAATGCAGTTATCTTCCCATCACCCAGTATGGCAGAGAAATGTTATTATTCTCTTTTTACACATGGGAAAACAAATCACACACACACAGGCTAAGTGACTTTCCCACGCTTACCCAGGAAGTCTGTGTCTGAGCAGTGGCCCTAGGACTACCAATTCCTAGACTAGCATGCTAACTAGGTGACCAGTCCGCCTCTCAGTCCACCAATGACCTGATCCACGATAGTGAAAACATGCTCGTACAGCTTACAGCCCTAGTTTGTGTGAGCGCTCGCTGACAATTGCATAATCATAGCTGTGCACGTTGGCACTTGTAAACATGGCTCAGTGAGATTTGCCAGATTACCACCTTTGTTTGGTGCCATTATGGAGATATCAGGGGCTGCCTTGAAGGAGGTGCCCTTGTGAAGTTAATTGGATCCTTGTAGGAGGGCCCAAATTTTTCCTCTTGCTTTGGGGCAAAAATGTATGCATTTGATGTGGGGAACGGGCGGGGCCGTGGAATGAAAAAACCTGCTGAAATTCCATTACATAGTCTAAAGGGAGGAGCAGGGGAGGTCTGATCTGTAATTTTGAAGCCCTTAACCTTCATGACAGCTTGGCTTTAATGGCCATCCCACTGAAAGACTGATTAATTTTTAAATATTTTGTCAGGAAACATCTGTTTATTTCATGTTTAGACAAATATTCTTCAGCCTCCGCGGCTGGTGATAACCGTGGAGACACCAGTCGAGGGCATTTGATGGGTGGCGGTTTATCGAGCACATTATCATGGCATAATGCATGCCCCTCTTCCCTTCTGGGAGTTAACGTAGGACAAGGCTTCTCCTTCCAGCCGCACGTCCTCGTGCTGCAAAGTGACAGGGTTCTGTGCCACGGCTCTGAAAGAGTCCGACGTGCCAGCGAAGTCAGCAAATGGAGAATTCATGCCAGTAAATAGGACTCAGTGGCAGAAGGGACGACATGCATTAGCCACAACATGAATGTTTAAAAGAAAGAGGAGTCTGACGGGTCATCTCATCTTGTCTTCCCTGGCAGGATGCATCTAAAACTCCTGCATTAGGATCTCTTCTACTGCCCAGCCCGAGATGTAGGATTGGATTTGTGAACACTGCTTCAGCAGCACTGCCCAAAGCTGGGAGGGGATCCCCTTTCAACCCCCTCGGTCACCTGTGCATTTCTACTTGGCTAGAAATGGTCGCTCAGAACTTGCCTTTTTCCAGAGAGGTCCACCCTAGCCAGTATTATTACTGCCAAGGTCTTCCCAGCACTTTTCATCCCTCGAGCTCAAAGTGCTTCACAAAAGAGGTCAGTGTGGTGATCCCTGTTACACAGGTGGGGAAACGAAGGCTCGGGGCGAGCTGCAACTTGTCCATGATTACCTCGCAGCAGAGCTGGAATAGAAGCCAGATCTGCCGAGTCCCAGTGTGGCACGCTACTCACTAACCAACAGAGCCTCATAGTACACTATTACACACACAGGCACCTTCCATCCCTCTGCCGAGATGGCCATTGCTGATGAAGCTCGCAATGACTTACAATAGACAAGCCTTTCTTCACAGCAGCTCCTAATTTATGCACCAAGCAATTTGAGCCTCATGAATCCTGTAGCTTCTGCTTTAACGAGAAGCAGTTAAAGTGGGGATCAGGACCCATGACACTTTATTACTGATAGCTCTATAGGTACAGTGACTGCAGAGTTTTACAGCAGTGACCACGGGGTATGATTACATGGAACATCAGGAATACTCCAGAACTGATACACTTGCTACCAACCATGTGGTTATCACGGACAAATCTGCAGGGGGAGGAGTACTTTGGAAGAGACAGGTTTCTGCACCCGTCACAGCCATCCTCGATGCCAGTGTTCGGGAGATGCAGAAATATTAGTGAGAACCAGAATGACAGCAATAAGCTGTGCTGTGGGAACCTCGCTCCCCATTGGGGCTGAATCCTGGGTGCCAGCGATTCAAGTGAGAGAAACACGTGTGGTAGCCCTCTTGCTCTGCTCCTGTTGGGATGACACATCACCCTGGCTTGTATGTGGCGAGTACAGACAGTTCCTTCTCCCCTCCCAATGCACCAATCTAATGGGAATCAGAAATACAAAATGACCAGGCTAGAAAATGCCGGGATTAAATGTCACCCATCCCATGCTCAATTCAGGATCCTCAAAGGAGGAGCTGTAAGGGGCTGCCAAAGGGATCAATGTCATGACTGCGTATCACATCTCTGCTGCAGTCTGGCTGCAGCCCTTATATGGCTGGTGCCAAATTTCATCCTGACCTTGCTCAGGCCTCAGGCTTAGCACCTGTGCTTGTGAGAGTTTGAATAATTCGAAGCTCTCTGGGAACCAGTTAAACTCAAGGGGCCCAGTTCACCATTACCAGCACTGTACAGCCTCCACAGGAGCCCTGCTGCAGGGGTGAGCCAGGAGCATGCTGGAGGAAAGCAGGGGGACATGCCAGAGGAATGGGCATGTGCTTGGGCTTCCTTACTGCCCCGCAGAAACCCCACACCTCTGGGACGGTCCGTAACGTTCCCTGGCCAGCGCTCAAGCCATCACCCAGCAGGCCTGGAATAGGGTTACTGCAGGGTTTGCCTGGACATGGGCCCATCTTGCCAGGCTCAGATCTAGAACCCAAATTCACCCAATTCAAGCTGCCTCCCAGATTCCAGCTCTGGCCCAACATGCTTGAGCCATGGGGTTTGGAGCAGAGTCAACCTCTTCCAGAATTTGGATCTGAAAGTTGCAAGTTTTCCTCCTGGACTTCCAAAACAAAAAAGCCCTTCACTGACTGGAGTGCTAGGGTGCCCCTTATGCTCCAGACCCGCAGTGGGTGAGGGAGGGAGCACCGAGGCTTGGAGACTTGCTGCAGGGCTGGAGCATAATTGCCAGCTTGCCCCGCTGCAGGGGGAAGCCCCAAGCCTCGCCACAGGTCAGCTCAAGGTAAGCCAGGGGCCAGATCCAGTCTGCTGGGTGTAGGTTCCCCACACGTGTCTTAAAGGGAAACCTCACGGCTTGTGAGGAGTAAAGCTCCTCTACCCTTGTGAAAAGGGCTATGGCTGTTAACCCTGGTGTCCTGGTTTAAATCCTACTCTGGTAATTACATGCTGCCCATCTAACGTCCTGCAGCTGATTCAGTCTTCTTCATTTCCTTGCTGTCACCATTGCGTAAGGATGCTGTGCGGTGCTAAACAGATGCTGTGTTCCTCCCCAGAGCTGGCTACATTTCTGTAATGGGTAGAATTTCAGAAATAGGAAGAAACACAGTTTACATAGTCCAGTAAGATCTGTAGTGTTTAAAAAGGTGCCTTACAAATGTAAAGTATTCATTTTTAGTAGTATTTGTTGGTGTTCCCTGTGGCCTTATATAGATGACTATAATGTAGCAGGATAGAAACTCTTCTACAGGGAAAATAAAGGAGGGAAATAAATGCCTAATCATGGTCTGATGGCTCCACGGGGAAGACAAATAAAACATGTTTGTATGTTTTCTGAAATGCAGCATGCGGCTGTAGGATTGTCCTGTTTTTCTGAATCCACAAGAATGTTTGCATCAACCTATGTATTCAGCCTGATCCGGAGCATCTGCAGTGAGTTCCCTGTGGCTTCCAGCTTCTGTGGTGAGTTTGGGAGCTGCGGGGAATTCAACATGGCTCACAATATTCGTGAATTTTGCCATTCGTGGTGGTGCCAGGAATGCATCCGCTGTGAATGGCAAGGGTTTCCTGTATAGTAAACAACGAGTGACCTGGGACAGAAATCCTGCAAAAGAGGAAAAACCCTCCCAAACCTTGCACTTCTCTGAAGTGAAGAAGAAAGGCCATTTTTGTCCTGGATAGATATGAAATTTCCAGCGTATAAAGTTTAGAAAGAGTAAACTTCAAACAGGCAGAGCCACAGCAGTGTTGAGGAAACCGACTCTCAGAAAAAAGCCAAATTGTCCCTATTAAAGATTCTACCACGGCTTTGATTTGAGAAGAAG